GGTTTCATACGGCATCACAGGATTTACTGATGCGATCTGGATGTGCTTCATGATACCTGTGGACTCGGATCAGGGTGCAAGCCAGGTGTCCACAGCGGGACTGCCTGCTGCATTACCAGGCGCTCCCCTTGTTTTCTGCAGCTCTGCTGGACAGCTGAGCAGCAGCCGCAGAGTGTTCAGTCCTGATCACTCTGTCAACTCGGAGAGCTCAGTTCTGGCTTCCAGATGTGCCCACTTGTATGTTTAGGTCCAAGTTTGAATTTTTTTAATGAATTAAATTCATAGTGGGCTGGTGACTGAGGATACTGTTATCTCCTGGTTCCAGAGAGGAGCTAAAAAGGTGTCAGTGGCCTAATGGAGCTGGCTCTGCCCAATGGCTAGTGGCAGCCCCCAGGATATCTGAGGGTGAATTACACAGTCCCCTGCCTAACTCTGCAGAGAAGCTGGGCTACAAACACAGGAGCACTCACACACTTGAGGTTGACAACACAGCCTCCCTTTCCCTAATTCTGAGGACTTCTGTTGGAAGAAATAAACCGGATGATCTAGAGGCCTTCTGGGGGTCAGAGCTGCCCTCACAGCACACAGAAGAGGTGTAGATCTCTCGCCTGATCTACGTAAAAGAGGAAGGCACAGAGATGAACCTTGTCTCCTGTGCGTGGCACGGTCTCATGTGTAGACATGAACAGAACCGAAGAGTTACAAGATTTCATCCTTTCACCTACTGCCATGCTCTTTATAATGCAAAGGACACATTCAGGCTTTGTTCAAAACACAGGATTTAGTTCTAAGTGGCCAATAGTCACAGTCTGGGACAGTCTCTCTCTTGCCTTGTAAAGTCTCATGCACAGGGTGCACAACCAGCCACGACAGTGAATGGCAGAGTGTTTCGTGCTCTCTGGAATGTTACTCTTAGTGTTTTATAATGGGTCTTTACAAAATGAATCAGCCCTCTAACATGGGAATAGAGCAAAGGCAAGCTATAAGAAGGAGGGTGTCTTCTAGTATGCCAATTCGCAGCATTTTATTATTGCACCTAGGGCATGCTGGATTTGTGAGTTTATTTGTGGAGACTTTAGTGCGTTCTACTCCACCAGAGGCTGTGGGTGGACAGGGTCGTTTCCAGAGGCATGTTAAAAACTCACACTACAACAGTACCTAGTGGTCTTAATGGATTAGGCTTTGAGGAAGCAGCAATGGAAATCCTAAGGGGTAAAGAATATCAGTAAACCAAAAATTTTCACACATTAGATAAACAAGGACCTTCCTTATTCCTCCAAATTGTCTACTCCTTGGACCACAAGTTCAGATGATCTTGGTAACTGAGCTGATTTCAGTTATTTCATGTGGCCACACTTAAAAAGCTGACTTTTGGTTTGGAAATGCTCCAAATCCCAGAGATACTCTTATAGTTTAAGGGAGGGCTACCATTCATTGCTCTAGAACTGCAATTAATCAAACAAGTCTACTAAAGGCTACATTTTCATGTGTAATGAGTAAAAACTGGTTCAGTCTTCAAGACAAATGAGACTAAGCATTCTAATCTTGGATACTATACCAGAAGTAAGAATTGGTTGTGTCAGCAGAGACACAGCACAGCTCCTTGGAAGGGAAATATTTAATGGGAAAAATGGCTTTGGATGATGTAATGCTAACTGTACTTAGAGGATTCACAGAAAAGTAGCCTAATGGATGATTGCTTCCCAAGTAAAAGTTGATTGTGTACAACTACTGTAGCTCCTGATTTTTGAGAAGCAGCTTAGAATGACAAGTTTATTCAAATGATGCTCTACTTTGGCCAGGACTTGTCAACAGCTTCATTAATCAGAAACAAAAGACAGAAAAAAGGAGCAGATAGATAGGATTTTTAGATCCTGTTCACTGTAAAGCCTATAATGCAAATCTGAAACTAAAGATAGTAACTCCTAAGGCAGTATTAAGAAGCCAATTATGTCTACCAAATAATTCATTCAGGACCACATTTCACTTGCAAAAAGCAGATTTAAAATTATTCCAGGGAAGCAATTCCTTGACCTCTCAAGGCTTTTATCAACTCTTGCAGAGGAAATAAACTCCCAAAAGAGAGAGGAGAAGAATGTTAAATAAAGCTAATGGGCAAGCTGAGTAAAGGGAGAAGGAAATTTCAAGTATTTGTTTGAACCAAGAAAAGTATAAATACTGCATATGATGAACTGTGGCCTGCACACTAAATAAACCACTGGAAGGATGTGAAATCAAATGAAAAAGTCTTAATTGCAGAGCAACTGAGGCCCACGCAGCATGGGGAGGGTAGCGGGCTAGAATGCCCTTGTTTCCCAGCCCTAACAAAGCTGAATGGCTAAAGGATACATTGCTGCTCTCGGGTACCCCTGCTGAATATGACAATGTTGAGTAGTTACTAAACATCTTAGCTTTAATTGTGAATTATTCCTGTTCTGGTAATCCTAGATTCCCTAGAGCACCTATGCAAAACATGCATAATATGATAAAATTCTCACTGAATTTAACGAAAAGCCTTTCTTTTATGAAGGGCAGAATGAGGCTTTAATGAAGGAATGCACCTCTTTGTTAGTTCTTTCTCTCCTCCTGTGTATACAGAAAGCTCATTTATATCTTTGAGTAGGTACGGGAAAATGATAATGAAAAAGGTAACTGAACAATTGGCTTCACTAGGAATTGGATTTGAGATCAATTTAAAAACATATGATAGCACAGAACAATCCAGGAAAAAAAAAATCTTCTAGAGACTTTATGCCACCTCCAAAAGGAACTTCAGGATAGACTTCAATTAGCCTCTCTATTATTATATGCTGGCTGTCTTTGCATCACCGATTCTGCCATAATAATAATAATGAATTTCACATGTCTCTCCCATCCGATACCTCCTCAGTTCTGCAGTCTAATCACTCACCATTTGTCGGCAGGCTGTATCAGCATTTATTTATTGGGAAAATATTTAACATGCTAAGAATACTGTCATGACTAAATACTGTAATGCACTCATGCATCACATAAGCACGGCTGAGTCAAGTTATCTCAAGAAATTTTAATTTTAAGAATTCTGCAATTAATTTAAAAAAGACTTTAAAAAGCAGTAATTCCAATGAGAAAAACACTTAAAATGGCAGTTTAGTTCATTCAGATGACAGTTCTATCAGAATTAAAAACTGCATCTAAATCTATAGCCAAAATAAATAATTGCTATTTAAAAAACAAAAAACTGTTACCTCCAGTCCATATTACACAATTTAACAGAAGTATTTCCCATAATGTTACATACAAGAAACTATTTTAAATAACATTAATACAAACTAAGAAAAGTTAGAGAACCTAAAATCAGACAGACTTTATCTCATATAATAAAAGACATAATACGTACGATTTATCCACCAACTATGTTATCATAACTGTACGAAAAGCTTAAATAAAAATGTTTAAATGAGGTGCTAGAAGTTGGGCATCTAAATCAGTGTAGGCACTGAAATAGCTGATTTCATTTTCAGAACTGCACACTTGTTTAATTTCCATAGAATTTAAGGTGACCAACACCTACAAAAGTCCCACTAATACTTATGCACATAATTAGCTTAATTCATCCAAGTAGCTCCATTAAATTAAAATGAACAATTTATATACATGAACTCATGACTAATGTTTACAGAACGACATATGTAATTACATAAGCAATATGTAACATATGTAGATATATTTAGTTGTCTAATTTAAATCTCAAAATCTAAAACTTTTTATAATAATATTTTAAATTAGATTTTTTACAGAATTATGTATTAGCATGTATTCTAGAGTCTTTAAAAACATATGCTGTAAGGAACTCTCACCATTTTTTAAAACAGAGAAATTAGTACATTTTTTCAAAGTGGTGACCAGAGTCCCCACTTAGCAAAGTATTATATGAAAAAGTGAGGTATGCAAGGATGAGAAATCACTCAGAAACAGTACTTTTCCCTATGGGCTATACCAGACTTCCAAAGCAGAAATCCTGATAGCAACGGTAGAGATTTATGCTAGGAAACAGATGAGAGATGGTATGAAATTTCAGAAGTTTATGTAGCTGTGTAAGTGTTTAAGAAGGCAACATATTCTTTTATGCTCTAAATTTTAATTAGGGAAAAATACATATGAATCAACACCACTAAATATTTTACTTAAGTCTAAATACCGACATACTTTTTAAGTATATCAAATTCCAGGGCCATCACAACACCATTACTACTGATTAGTTAAGCATCTTTCCCGTTGCTAAATGAAAATACCCTTTTCAACACAACTAGTTTTAATTTTTTATCCAATACTTTTGGACACTGATACTTGAACAGATCAGTGTCCCATTCTGCATCATTACTTTGCATCATTTCTGATAAACTGCAACAGTAAAATAATTAGGTTGCTCTTTCTAGTTAGAAGGAAAAGGGCTCAATCCTACGGACACTTTTCAAAGGTCTCATTTTTTAAATGCTGATGGTCATGTTAGTATATGTAAAATAAAGCATGTGACAAAATGTTCAGACAATCAGGGTTCAGATCACTATAATATTTATTATTGATATAAAGCCTGCAACATTCAGAGAGCTATAGCACTGGAATTGCAAGATCAGAACATATCAACAAGTCAGGTAATGTCTGAAGAGCTGAATTCATCTGAGGTCTACCAGTCATTTCTGTGGTAAGATGAACATATATAACCCACTTCATCTGGGAGGAGAAAAAAAAAGTCAGGCTACTGATTGGCACAATGTTCCTCATCACCACTGAATGATCAATTAGATTTTTTTCTGATTCACACTACATGAAATGAGTTGTTCTTTTAAAAGACCAGATCTTTTTAAAAAGGTACAGTTGGTAAAAGATTGATCTGCCCTTCACTGTCTCTACTTGGATGTTTTCAACTAGCAGCAATTCTTGTTTTCATTATAAAGGTGTCAAACTGCTCCTAGCTCCATCTTTTGTAAAAAAGACAAAAACAAAATAACAACAAAAAACCCCCAAAATGTTAAGGCTTTTTTATATCTGTGTCAGTTTGATCTACTCATACTAAATGGAACAATAGTCTTGAGGATCTTCAAGTGGAACGATTTGTCTTCTCAATATTCTGGGAAAAAAAGTCATCGATTGCATCCACTAGAACAATTAGTCTCCAACATCCCCATCTCTGTCACCTATGAGCCACAGAAAATGAAAACCCAGGGCTAACAAGGCAGTTCCAAGCAGATCTCCCAGTGCAGTAAGATAAGGGATAGAAAAACTGTCAGGATCCTTTCCTTTTTTCCAGAAGTGGTGGACCATCCAGTCAGCAATCCATAGTAGAGTAAACACCTATAGAACATCAAACAAATAATCTGTATTATTATCACTTAAATCATACCAATAGCTAATATTATTATTATTTCCATTGTACTTAGCACTATTGTACACAACTGCTTTTGAACAATATAAATAATCAATCTGATTTAATTTCTGATTAAAACTTCCCACAATCAAAAAAGGTAGTGGGAACCTAACAGAATGAACAAGTTAAATCACGGACAGCATCCTTTCAGTCTTATAATTGAAAGAAAATCTGTCAATGGCAAGAAAAACACAAATTCCACACAAACGTGTGACTGTACTTCTCACATCAGACAATATTGTGCAGTGTGAGCAGAGATGAGGTTTCAAGATTATACATAACTATCTGATATTACCCCAGATAAAAGCACTCAAAATAGACTTGTTACCACAACCCTAGATCTGAGCCATCAGCAGACGGGAGATAAAGAATATGAGGTCAGATTAAGAACAGATTCATCTAGATAGTGCGAACCACTACAAATGGCTTAGAATCTACTTTTAATGCATGAAATACCAACTGCAGCTCTGCTGTAATAAGGCACACCTGCAGTATATATTATGAAAGTGTCACTCCAGGCTGAATATGTCCCAGAGTAAAAGATCTTATTCCCGACTGTGAATGTCTGAACATCTGAGCGGTTTGATCTTAATACCAAAGGTATGTGTAAATCATCAGCCCAGTTTTAGAAAAGAATTCTTTTAATGTTCCACAGCTGTATAACAAGAGGTTCTGGTTCAGTGGGATCGTGTGGCATGGCCTGGCATGTGATGAGTGGATAAAAACACTACTGACTGAGCTTGTGTTTCTTCTTTTCTCTTTTGAGGAGCTGCCTAAGATGAAATAAACATCATATTGTATTCATTTTTTAGTTAAGAATATCTTCAGGAAGGCTAAATTTAAGACAGTTATTATCATATTCATTTTTAAAAGTCTATTTAAAAGAATATGTAATAAAAAGTGGTAAAAGGTATAAAATTTATATTGTATGTAATCAATTAATTACCAAAAAAGGTTTAAAAAATCTTTATAAATGTGTATACTCATTTACTGAAACACTGATATTATGTGATGTGCTTGACACTTCTCCACAATACAACAGACAGTACAATGAACGTTATATAAAAATGTGGTGAAAACAATATTCTCAATCATCGCTTTACAAAAGCATATTTTTTAATACAAACATGGACTTCTAATTACAAAAAAAAAAGGAGAATATTTGCTTATTGAAAAATGCACAGTTTATTTATACAAACATATCTTCTGAAAAGGGAACTCTGTAGTCTAAGCTAATTATGCAAGTCCTAGGTGTGCTGACTGAAATCCAAACAAATATATTTAAAACAGATGTTTTCTTTGGAAGACTATCAGATTCTTTGAGTTGGCTCTTTCTTCCAACACAGACAAAAAGAGGTCTGTTTATGAAAGATACTGTACATTAGCATCCCTTACTGGATGTACACAGAAAACCCTATAGTCCCCAAACCAACAATAGTTAGGCACGCTCTCTTACAGGATGAGAGCACTCATTCCAAGAATAATTTACAACCTATTTACATAAGGCACATAACTAATTAAACATAGCATACACTGTACAATTTAAATGATAGATACACCTTTGTCTTTAAAAATTCATCATCTGTAAACTTTTAATTTGTCGACACATTTTCCATTCTAAAACAACTGTATATTATAGTGATAAATAGGTAGTCTGGAAATTAAGTTTTGTGAACTTTTCAAAATAATTATTGTCGATGTATTATCTCATAGGTGCATAACACACTGCAAACTATAACAAACCAGGTTTCTGAAAGTAATGAGAAAAAAAGAATCATAGTGTATTATATTAACTGAAGATTTTAACAGTGTACAATGCTAGCGGGGACATGGCGATTACAAAATAAATAATGAAATTACAGTTTACTGACCCTTATTTTGAGGAAGGAATTTGTCATTTGTCTATTGTCATATATTTGCATGGCTAGAAACTGACAACAACTAAGAATTACGAAGATTAGCCTTTGGAAATGGTTAGTTATATATTCGACCACGGTTGCTGATGTTGGCAAGGTAGAAGTTCATCAACATGACTTAAATCTTTAATGAGATTTTGCTTCTTATCAATATAGAGACGGAGAGATCACAACTGTCAATCAATTGTTATTTTTGACAACAATACTAAAATTCCTACCATGACTTTGCTGACATTTCAAAAGTAAGACAGTCCTTGAATTTAAAGTGGTAAGTAACACATAAAGATATGGCAGGCTAAAAAAATCAGGCAGAGGTATTCACAGAAAAGGGCAACGGGGAATAGACTGATAGAAATGGAAGGTTTCTAAGACATAGGGAGGAAATTTTACAGGAGGCATTAAACGAGTGGTCATAAGAATAGTTTTGCGCTACATTACATTTGCTGGGAATTATTAGTAGCCTATACTTATTTCAGCAAATTAATGCAAATGGCATAGCAATCTAAATATGGCGTATTTCTACTCTGCATTTACTCCATGAAGAACAAAGTCTAAGCATGCTTCTAAGTGAAAAACAGCTGGTTTATATAAGGAAATAACATAAGGGAATCAACATTCCAGAAAAGTGTCATGAGACAATAAAAACGACCTGGTTAACATGAAATGATGTACAAAGTGTTAAGAAAAGCTTGAAAATATATGAAAAACTGCTGTTCAAGATGTGAGCTAGTATTTTGCAATTCTTTAAAATACAGAGGAAAAGCTCAATTAATTGTCCTTTGAGGAGAGGAGAGGAGAGGAGAGGAGAGGAGAGGAGAGGAGAGGAGAGGAGAGGAGAGGAGAGGAGAGGAGAGGAGAGGAGAGGAGAGGAGAGGAGAGGAGAGGAGAGGAGAGGAGAGGAGAGGAGAGGAGAGGAGAGGAGAGGAGAGGAGAGGAGAGGAGAGAGCAAGCATTGAAAAAAAAAACTGAAACAATTCTAGACATTCTGGTTCTTTAATAAAAATACTGAATTAACTTTCTAGTCTTTTGGTCTATATTACCACTAAAACTGAGGCAAATGAAGCTACAGACATCATCAGTTTTAGACTAACTAGGTATGAAATAATCATCTGAATAATGCCTCATAATTTCTATTTATAAATGTGGTGTATCTGTAAAAAGACATATTAATCACATTGCCAAAACAGGCTGCAGAAGACAGAAGAATAGAGACACTACAAAATGAATATAGCAATAAGAATGAGATAAAAGGAGAAGGAGTAGAAGAGTGAATAGCTTTTATCAGATGTCAGTGGGACTGTGTAAGACTGTAATGATGAGGTACCTGAAAATAAGGAGCATAAACATACGTATCACACTGTACAACAATGGACAGCTATAAAGAAAGAGTGATTCTAGATATTGAAATTTCTGATTCAAGCTAATATCAGATTGAAACTGAAGATGAATGCCTAAATAAATCTTTATTTAAATATTCAAAGTTGAAATCTTGTGATTGCAAACATGGGAAGATTACTTTACACAAGACAAAATAGTTCTTTTCCTTTGCTATGGGACACAAAATTGCTTTTGTTCTTTGCAAATTAACAAGTTAAGCTATAGAAAAAATATTTTTTCATCCTTTGAATGTAGTGAAGAGCTCTAAAAGCTTTCTGCACACTTTCACATAACTAATCACTCACACCTTCAAAATCTAATTCAATATAAAATTGCATAACTCCTTCCAAACATTCTCAATGTAGTCCAAACAATACATGTTGACATTTTGTGTTTTTTTTTCTTCTAGGATTACCGTATTTCATCAGTGAATACATAACAAACTCACAGTGATAAAAAGTATAACATTCAAATGAATAATCTTTGTTAATGACAAATAAACCTTCTTCTTAAAATCTTTTAAAATATCTTTTATGCTTATATTAGTTTAAATATAGTTTTTATGATTAGTGAATTCCTGTACCAAGCTAGAAAGAGCAACTTTAGGTTATATAGTTTGTACATAATTATTCACACTGATAATCAGGCATTACCAAATTCAACTGTAAGTGGTATGTGGAGCCAAGGCCTCTTAGCACTTTATTTAGCTTGTCTCAGATGGACAGGATTTCCTGCAACTTATTAATGCTACAGTTTCTTCTTAAATTGTTTCCATGTGAAGTTGCATTATTAGTTTCGTTCTATTACTTCAGACTGGAAACATAGATCCAAATAAACTGTAGTATCTTGTTTTCAAATGTATTTTAATTTTGCCTTACTCTCATTCTTTTGTTGACTCAGAATTCACCTGCAACAAAACCACAACAAGCTCTGGTAATTATTCTACAACAACTGTTAGATGAATTTCAGAGGTAATTTATATTAATTTTAAAAACATTAGGATGAATTAAGGATCTCTAAAGATTACTGTGTCCTGACTCTGAAATTCTATCAGATTTATGGTTTAGTTCTTTTAGTTGTTGATTTTTAAATCATGCATTGAATTTATTAGATTTTAAATTGCTTTTGATGTCTTCTTGTGATGCTATTACCTTTAAAGCACTCACAACACATCTATACTGAACTTGTTGAATTCCCACTGTTTTCAACCACAATTCTTTAGTCAAAGAACTTACAGAATAGTTTTTACATGTTTAGGCATGAAACCGTTGCAGACTTGGACATCTGTGCTTTTTCTATTTCCTGAAACTTGGGCAGTTTTACTGTATTTTTCAAAACAATTCTCTGCTGCTTTCTCAGGTTAGCTGCATCATAGCCAGGGGGCACAGGTCACTAGTTCCCCCAGAACTTGCAGAGATTTCCTTCAATGTCTGGCTGTTGAGAAATGACAGTTTTTACTTTCATGTCATTCATGTTTTAGTCATCTTGTAATTAGGAAATATAAATTCATTCTCTTTGGGAGTGAATAGAGATATCTTACAGAAGATTCAACCCTTTCTTTAGAAGACTTCTGAAAAGCTTGCTTCTCAAACAACACTAATTGTACATTTCAGCAGTCTTTAGCTTTGCTGGAC